TCAGGTGAATCAGTTGAAGAAATAGCTTGTGGTGCATATCACGTGGCAGTTTTAACATCTAGGAATGAAGTTTATACGTGGGGCAAAGGTGCTAATGGGAGGTTGGGTCATGGAGATATTGAAGATCGAAAAACAGCAACATTGGTTGATGCTTTAAAGGATAGACATGTTAAGTATATTGCTTGTGGTTCAAACTATACTGCAGCTATATGTCTTCATAAATGGGTGTCTGGTGCTGAGCAATCTCAGTGTTCAGCCTGTAGGCAGGCATTTGGGTTTACCAGAAAGAGGCATAACTGCTATAATTGTGGACTTGTGCATTGTCATGCATGCAGTTCCAGAAAAGCAATAAGAGCTGCATTGGCTCCAAATCCTGGGAAACCATATCGTGTATGTGATTCCTGTTTTGCTAAACTGAACAAAGTGTCAGAAGCTGGTAACAACAGGAAGAATGCTGTGCCACGCCTTTCAGGTGAGAACAAAGACAGGTTGGACAAGGCTGAGATAAGGTTGTCCAAGTCAGCACTGCCTTCTAATTTGGATTTGATTAAGCAGTTGGATAGCAAAGCAGCTAGACAGGGAAAGAAGGCTGACACTTTCTCCCTTGTTCGCACATCTCAAGCACCTTCTTTGCTACAGTTGAAAGATGTTGTTTTGTCTACTGCTATAGATTTGCAACGAACAGGTCCTAAGCCCGTGCTGACACCATCTGGAGTAAGTTCCAGATCTGTTTCACCTTTTTCAAGGAGACCTAGTCCTCCTCGTTCTGCTACCCCAGTCCCCACAACTTCAGGACTCTCTTTTTCCAAAAGTATAACAGATAGTCTGAAGAAAACAAATGAACTTCTGAATCAAGAGGTGCTGAAATTGCGTGGACAGGTATGGTCACTGAAGTTCTTTCATTTTTTTGTTCCATTTCCTTTTTCCTTCATCCCCCTTCCTTTTCTAGGGAATGGGAGTAATGGTTGAAAATCAGAGAGCAGTTAGAGTCGTTTATTTGGTACTTATAGTAACTGAGTCTTTTCTTCAAATCTTCCTATTTAGTGATGTAATCAGCAGTGTGTCTGTTTTATGTGCCGAGAAGCAACTTACTGTAAGAAGCACATTTTGTTTAAGATTTATTTATTTCTTTGTATTTCAAATATTGGCTTAAATTGCATATTTTCTTAATATATGTACTTATTATCCCATAGAATTGTTTTTATATAAATCAATAAATATTTTTTTCAATAATTTTATTTTTTTCAAACATGTAACTTATCTTTTAAAAACCATAACCTAGATGCACTTCATTTCTTTATAGCAGTAACAGTGAGTTGGGTTGATTTTTTTATTTAGTTGTTAATCAATTCTTAATTCTATTTCTCATGTTAGTTTTAGCATGCATAACTAGAGGATAGGTTGTGTTTGAGTTACCACCAGACCAACTTTTTCTTAATGTTGGGAGGTAAACACCTACCTTAAAAGGCAGGAACTAAATTTTTGAACAGTGGTAACTCAGGTGTGTAAATCAGGTTTAAGTTATGCATATTATGACTAATATGTGAATCAGAACTAGGAATTGGCTAGGAAATTAATGGAAGATGAACCAAACACAAATTAAGTGTTTTAAGGATATTTGTTTTAGCAATTCCAAATACCCAATTAATGTGGAGCCAAATTGTAAGCACCTTTATTTGAGTGCTAATGCAATCATGGCTCTGATTCAGGTTGAGAGCCTCAGACAGAAGTGTGAGCTTCAAGAATTGGAGCTTCAGAAGTCAGCAAAGAAAGTGCAGGAAGCTATGGTCCTAGCCGCGGAGGAGTCTGCTAAATCAAAAGCTGCAAAAGAAGTTATAAAGTCACTTACATCACAGGTGACTTCTGCTTAATATTGTTTTCAGTTATTAATTTTTTACTACTTGTGAACTGGTCATCTCAAAATTAATTAATATTTTAGTTTACGCTTGCCTTTTCTTACAAGTTAGAATGATAATTTTTATTGATTTTAATAAAAATTTGTTTTCCTTGAAAATTAAGACAGTAATGGTTACACGAGTGCTCGTTAGTGTGCCTATCTTTTCCTCTGCAAGACATAATTACATACATCGAGTAGATGATTTATAAGCTTTTTTTTTGGGTTTTAAAACTACTTTTGCAAGTTTCTTCTGCTTGTTTTGGGTCTTCCTCAATGAATTGGCCTTTCTCTCAGCTAAAGATTCTTATTCTATTGTTCCAGCTCAAGGATATGGCTGAGAGGCTGCCACCTGGGGTTTATGATAATGATAGCATAAGACCCATTTACCTACCCAATGGCTTAGAGCCCAATGGTATTCATTTCCTGGATTCAAATGGAGAAAGACATTCAAGGTCTGATTCAATCAGCAGTTCTTTTCTTTCTTCGCCCACAGGAATGGACTCTGCTTCACTAAATGGAACTCGAGGTAGCCACCAAATGCTTAAGGATCCGCCTGGTGCCAATGGAACAGATGATCATCCAGATGTGAGACTTCAAAATGGCAGTGGTGTGCTTCAAGCGAGCAGTAGTAGTCTATCACATGCTGCTGAGGGAAAGGAATCTGTACCTTTCCAAGATGGCGAGAATGGTTTGAAAGCTAGGAGTTCCACACTGACTGTAAACAGCAATCAAGTAGAGGCTGAGTGGATTGAACAGTATGAGCCTGGTGTATATATAACTCTCGTGGCCCTACGAGATGGAACTAGAGATCTCAAGCGAGTGCGCTTCAGGTAATTTTTGTATATTTGAATTGAATTTGGTCATAAGCGGCATGAAAAGGTCATATGCTTGTCGCGTCTGGTCCTCTACCATATATTTGAGATGCTTTTGACTACCATGATTTGGTTTTATTTGGTTTAAAATTTTACTTAAAAGTTAATAATGGCAACTCTGAAATTGTTGTTGGCTTTGCAGCCGAAGAAGATTTGGGGAGCACCAAGCAGAGACTTGGTGGTCAGAGAATAGGGAAAAGGTGTATGAAAGGTACAATGTTCGTGGGTCAGATAGAACTTCCGCGTCTTCTCAGGCAGCTCGCAGATCCGAAGGAGCCCTCTCCCCTTCCCAAGTGTAGCAAGAAAGTGTAGATGTGTTCGTCACTTAGCTCATTTTGTACTAATGATCATGAAGGATCCAAGCACACGGCAGCGTCTAGTTTAAGGCAGAAAAACTTCCCATCCCCTCCCCCATCAATTTTTCTTTTTTAATTTCTTTCTGGGTTCTATTGTTATCGCCCCCGCCCCCCCTCATTTTTTCAGTACCCCTTCCTGATGGTTATTAATTTATTTCGTTTCTTCTATTCAATCTCTGGGTAACGCCCTTCTTACATATCTGTTGTATCGTAGTGTATATAAAATCCTCAACTTTGAGATAAGTCCCCGCAAGAAAAGCTTTTGTTCCTTGCTTTTGTGGGCGCTTTTACTTTTTGTTTTTGTCCGTCCCGTTTTCTTGGCCAAGGAAAAAGGGGATCAAACTAGCAGACTCTAGAGTGCTACGATCATAGATCTTTTATTTATACCTACTGAGGAAAAGAATTATAAAAACACTTCATTTTCACATGAAAATTTTAAATTATGAAGTTCTTTCCCATCAAATTACTGCGAATTTATATTGTATTTTAATTTTAATTTCCACAAAACCAAAATTCGAAACTAAATTCAATCTGATTGTATTCTTTCTTTTAAATAAAATTTTTTAAATTTCTTATATCTATTCTAATTATAAGAATTTACTTATCACGAAATGTTTTTATTTTTCAAAACCATAATAGATTTTACCTCATATTGATTATGCAATTGAACTAATACAGTATTGGAGTAAGTCACTGATCTTATTTAAAAAAATACTATAATTCAATCTATCACTAATCTATATTATATATTTACAAAATCGGATTTACTCTCTCATAATTTTTGTTCTCTTTTAGTTATAATTTTACATTTCTTATTTTACCTCAATTAAGTAAGAAATTTCTACATTTTCTATTAGCTATTATAAAGTTGTATATTCCAGATCTATATAAATAACATTTATATTCACTTGTCAACAAAAAATCAACATCCACTTTTATACATGCTTACAAATATGATATTAAATTATACATTTACAAATGTTTTTTTTTTTTTTTACATTTTTAAATTTATTTTATAGTCGTGTTTATACCAACCATTAGCTAAAGAAAATTGTATCATCATCGGATACTTTAGAATTGAATGCTTCTCCCTTTCGGCTATAAGTTATGACCAAACCCACATAGAAGCTTCCCAGACCGACCTTTGACCTTGTTCGCCATTTTTTTGGTCTTGAAAACAACCATCATGTTCTCATGGCTACCTAAAGGGTCACCTGAATTCCACAACTTTTAACTAATTATCCCTTTTTTTCCAAACTCAAATTAAAGGAAAATATAAACACTATACCCTAAGTTTGTAATTTTCATTTAATTTACCCATAACTTTTACTTTAATTTAATTTACGGTATCCGATGTTCTCTATGTATATGTTTATATTTTCCAAGGCCGTTGAACTAATCCACAAGAATAGAAGAGAAAAGAAAAGGAAGTATACTAGATTGTGATTGACACTTTGATGAAGCACACAAATTTTGATTTAAAAGAAGAAAAACAGAAGTAATTATCAGATTTGTGAATGTAGTTAAAATAAAAATCACCCCCTTTTAATGTCAAAAAATTTTAAAAAAAAATGTTATTGTGTCAAATATGTAATTCAATTAATAAATAAATGTGTAATATTCAAACCCATTCAGAAGATAGATTATGTAACAAGCATGCACATAATATATATATACCACAATTCATGTATATATATCAGATCACGTCAGCTTTACTCAATTCATGACTATGCATATATCCACTGTTTCATGGCAAGCACGCATATTCAGCGTCCAATATCTCTACTCTACGTCCAAACGGCGACGTATTTAGGGATATATAGAGATTTTTCTTTTGATTGATCGACCCAGAAAACTAATTGAAGTAGCAGAGTTGCTCATGTAATGATCATCATATATATATATATATATATATATATATATATATATATACTGTCTGGCACGTTAAGCTGCATGTTACTCACTCACTATTATTTATCTTATTTAAATATATATCCAATTTTAAATTCGGACTCTTTGTCAAATATTTATTGTTTTTTTCTTTTACAAGAATATTTTGTATCAATCTTGAATATAGTAAAATTCATTACAGCTAACGTGATGCAATTGTTAATATAATCTATATATGTATATATAATTATCATTAGGGCAAAAAGGATCATGGGGTACATATTACATAGATATGACGTACGTACATACCCTTGAAGGAGCACTGCTCCTGAAAACGAAAATGCGGAGGAACAGAGAAAAAGAGAAGATGAAAGAGGAACCAATCCCATATTTACACATATATAAATATATATAACATAGATATGTATATAATCAGTGTACTTGAAATTAATGTTCATGGAAATGATGAGTCTGAACTCTGTAATCCAACGTAGTTGTGATGCTTGGAAGGAGCAGAAGGCGGGATGGGCATTCCTTTTGGCAAGCAGGCTGAGAGAGAACTGGACTGAGTCGTGGACCGAGTCGGACTCACCTTGAACAGTTGAGTAGCAGTGTGTCGTGACCCATGAGTTTCAGACACCAAAAGCACCAGCAGCAATACCACCATTCTTATACTTCCCATAAAATACCTCTGTTTAATCAACATGAACTAGCACAAGAGTTGGAGGAGCAAGAATATCACCCTCAATATTGGTTTGGTCTGTTTTTTTCTTTTTCTCCGAAACAAAGAAATGTAGTAGAAGTGTATGTATATGTGTACATATAAAAGACATTTGAAAGAGAGGACAGTGAGGAAATGTGGAAACATGGAGAAATAAATGCTGGGTCATGTACTGTAACATTGACATCTTATTCACAGGGTTGCCGGTGATCGCCAAGGATGTTCAAATTATAAATTAATATTAACTATAAGAAGTCACGCTTTTGACATATAAATAGAAATATGTCCTGATTGCTTTTTAAGTCTTTTCAATCCGGGTCTTCGGGGATGTGTTTTCAAATATATGTAAATATATATACATATATTATATGAAATCAAAGACCAAAAAGGTAGGCCAAAATTTCACCAGAGGGTATAAACTTGGTGAAATAGCCCATGTGTTTGTTATATTAAAAATTAAATCTTAAATACATGCACCAACTAGATTTGGAGATTATTGCTAACGAAATAATTTCAAACAATTTACAAATTATCTTAAAAACTATATAATATTTATAAAATCAAAATGCACAATGTTAAATTTATCTTAATTGGGTGGCTGTGATAACTACGCCGATAGAAAAAAAAAATTATCGTATTACTTATTTATTCTTTGGTGCATAAATTTTTTTTGTTTTTTTTGTTTTTACATAGGATTAAGTATGATGGTAAGATTTATAGAGCCAAAATTACACACGTAACATCTCTAATTTCTCACTTTATATTTGCTGATGATAATACAATTTTTGATCGTGTGAAAGTACAGGAACTAGGGCAGTATAATATATCTTGAAAGACATTAGGTCGAAATCATAAATTTACAAAAGTTTTATACACTCTTATCAAATGAGTTTACTTATATAAAAAAAAAAAAAAAAAACAGCAACTCAACACTTTGTTAAGGGTTTATAGTGTTGATACACATTATAAGTTCTTGGGTTTGTTTACTATGTTGGGTAGGTCTCTAAATGAGATGTTTGAGTATTTTACTGACAGATTGACAAAGAGACTATAGAAATTGGATCGACCAACTTTATCAAAAGCATGTCAGAAAACTATAATTAAACAGTGGCTTACTCTATTCCTATAAATGTTATGGATTTTTCTTATTTCCCAAATTCAAGTCAATAAATGGAGAGATGGGTAACAGGTTTCTAGTGGAGAGCATAAAAGGTAAACCAAGTATTCACTAGTTTCGGTAAGCACTTTCATGCTCCCCAAAAACAGTAAGGGGCTTAGGGTTTTGGGGCTTACACTACTTTAACAAAAGATGTTGGTCAAATAAACGTGGTTTATTGTATAACACTAAACCTCGTTTATCTCAGTTATTAGTAGTCGATATTACCGCCAAAGAGGGTTTATGAATGCATCAAGTTCAAATGATTCTAAGCAAGATTGAAGAATTGGAAACAAGTAAAGATTGTTGCTCTTTTAATAGTAATCTAGGCAACACAATGTCAATGGTTCCTACATCATGATTACCTCCATCCTATGACGTGTATAAGAGTAATTGTGATGTATTTATTGAGGACAATGGCTTATTAAACTTGGATATTGTATATAAAAAATTTGACAAAGTTATTGCTTTTATAACTAAGAGACGTTCGAAAACACCATTATCGATAGATGTGACTAACATTTGGACAAATGTTATGTAAATTACAAGTGATACAGTCATTAGAATTAGAATTTATTCAAAATAAAAAAGAATGCATAGAGAATCTATTTTATACTCATTTCAAATGTATATTTAACTTAGAAGTGAATTTATTGATTAATAATATACTCTTTAATTTTCATTTATTTTTATACGTATCTTCTATGTGGATTTCTAAAGACTTAAATTTGGTTGCTTATGTCTTATTAAATAGAACACATTCTACTCTAAACAGTAGTTTCGTAACTCAAGAACTTCATACTCTCTTTAATTTATTTGCTTGTATAAGATGAAGTTTACAATATTCTAAGTTATGTTATTTTCCATTTTACTATAAAAAATTTGTTTGGTTCCACTCGAGTAATCCGAGACCGAAGACAGATCAAATATTTTAACTTGAAATGTTAATGTAACATTATATTTATCTTATGTAACATATGAAATAAAATAAAGTTATTAGACAATTAAAAAAAAAAAAGTCTAAAGACCCAATTAATGGCCGACTATTAATGGGGGAGTATTTTGAAGGGTGTATAGTTGAAATTAGTCCCACACAACATGCGAAGTTGTCCCTTACAGATCCCTGTAAGTAGGATTATTTTCCTCTCAATTGTCTCCAAAGTAAAGGGTACCCTTCAAATCAACCAGACAAGCTGTGTGTGTCTCTCTTTTCTCCTACTTTTCAGAACCCCCTCCCTCGGCTACTCGTGTTTTATTAAATATTGTCTATATTTTCCTCGAGAAGTAATAAATACAGTGGGGGGCATACCCAACTGACCTAATATTAGGAGCTTCCATCAAGACAAGACCTTACCAGATTCAGATTTTCATTTCAACACCCCGTCGAGCAGAAAGCCATAAATGTTGACGCGAACATGTAAATCAATTGGTCAACTAATAAACTACTAATCAAATCACTAAAATAGTACCTTTAATTCATTCATTTAATAACCAGTTTAGTTATAATAAGTACCAGTGAATAATTTGTTTGTGGGGTTACGAATTTAGATTAAGGCGTGAAGCATGAGAAACGTTGTCGGATCAAATGGACTCTCGGCGCCATGTGTAGTAAGTTGATAATTTATTATGTTAGCATGGTATTGGTAGCTTTCATCTTAATTTATTATTAGACACTAAAATAATTTACTCTTGCATCTACAAGAATCTTTTTCCTTTTTTAATATTAGTCATGAACTAAATTAATTTCTCTACTAACAATAATACCTGTGGTGTAAGTCAATATATTTATACGAGCACACAGCTTAAAGGCAAATACATGAGAATACGACTCATCAATTAAACCATGTATGGGTGCTTCAAATCGAGAACAAAATATTTTTTTATAACGTTAGAAACTAACTAAATCGAGTTAATATCGTTGGTTTAATTACTATTATTTTTTTATTTAAAAACTTATTAAAATGAGATCGTATAAAGTTTTAAATAAGTTTTATTAATATATTTTCTTTGCATTTCAATTTCAAATGACAATAAATATTTTATAAAAATAAAATAATACTTTAAAAGAAAAATTAATGACTCGAGTCACCCATTTATACAAAAATTATATTGATTTTTTATTATTTTAGATGGAATTTTTATTATTTCTTAATTAAATTAAGTATATTTTTTAAAATAAATAAATAAATAACATAATATATTTCAAATTGTTTCAGGCACAGATTAATTGAGGGGTTATAATACAGCTGTAGTGAAAATCTATCTGAAAAATATTTGCTTTCTTTCTCATTTCTCTTGAATGGGGAAGTGAAATTAAATGTAGAATTCATCTGGGAATTCAAAATTCTTTTAATTAAAATATGTGAATTTTTTAATAATTTAAAAATATATATTGAACTTAAAAAAATAAATTTCCTTATGTCGTGAGGCAGCCCTTCTTCCCTTCTAGTTTTAAAACCAGTCATTGAACTCAGCCGATGCCAGACGAGCATGAGCACGGAGCATCTGCTGTTCGATTACCTGGCTCTCTTACGGCCACATCCCATAAAGTCTACCAGAGAGAGAGGGAGAGAGAATCGACCGAGGAAACTTCACCATGGAGGCAAGACTCTCTGCAACTCTTGGCCTCTCATCTCCGGATCCTAATAACCATCTTCTTCTCGTTAGCTTTCCTTCCCTCGTAACTCAATTCCGTGCACTGTCAACTCAAAACTCAAACATTCTTCCCCAGAACAGTTCTCTCGCTTTTGCCTCAATCTCTGTTTCAACAGATCCCCAAATCAAACCCAGATTCTTAAATTGGCTCAGACCCACCTTAAAACCCCGCCCTAAATCCAGAAAATGCGAAGAACCCACTAATAGTTGTAACAGATCTATCCCTCTTGCGTCTACTGCAGTTTCCACAGAGACTATAACCACACCCAAATTCCCGAAATGGCTAAAACCCACGTCAAGAGACAGGCCCCGAATCCAATCCCTCATGAAAAACCTTTCAGTCTTTGAACGAGCCCTCCTCGGCGCAGGTGCCGGTGGTATAGCTGGTGCATTTACTTATGTGTGCTTGCTCCCGCTTGATGCCATCAAAACCAAGATGCAAACGAAGGGTGCATCTCAGCTTTATAGCAGCACATTTGATGCCATCGTAAAAACTTTCCAAACAAAGGGGGTTATGGGGTTTTATAGTGGAATATCCGCCGTAATTGTTGGCTCGACTGCTTCTTCTGCTGTGTATTTCGGGACATGTGAGTTTGGGAAGTCCATTTTGTCCAAATTGGACCAATTCCCCTCTCTGCTGATCCCTCCTACTGCTGGTGCTATGGGCAATATCGTTTCCTCTGCGATCATGGTGCCTAAAGAGTTGATCATACAGCGAATGCAAGCTGGAGCTAAGGGGAGATCATGGCAAGTTCTGATGAACATATTAGAGAAAGATGGTATTCTGGGTCTTTATGCAGGCTACTCTGCTACATTGTTGAGGAATTTGCCTGCCGGGGTGTTGAGTTATTCCTCGTTTGAGTACTTAAAAGCTGCGGTTTTGAGCAGAACTGGGAAGAGTAATTTAGAGCCAATACAGAGCGTGTGCTGTGGTGCATTGGCTGGAGCAATATCTGCCTCTCTAACTACGCCCCTTGATGTGGTGAAGACAAGGTTGATGACTCAGGCTCAGGGGGAGGCGGTGAATAAAGTTGCAGCCGTAATGTACAGTGGCGTAGCAGCCACTGTGAAGCAAATTTTGAAGGAGGAAGGATGGATTGGATTGACTAGTGGGATGGGGCCTAGAGTCGTCCATAGTGCTTGTTTCTCTGCGCTGGGGTATTTTGCTTTTGAGACAGCTAGGCTTACGATTTTACATCAGTATTTGAAGCAGAAGGAGCTGCGTGCAATGGATGTCACTCCTGCATGATTTAGTTGCCCTGACTTGGCTCTCCGATCAAATGGGCTGTACCGTTGGTGATATCTCTAATCCCCATATTATTAGTCTGCATATCTATTTCCTGTCAAAACAAATTTTCTGTTGTTGGATTTCTACTCACAGCATTTTTGGTGGTACATGTTTAATAATACTTGTTCTTTCTGCCTTTTGGTTTCCTAGTCCATTGCGCTGATAGTGTCAGTTGATAAATACATCAAGATGTGAAGTTAGGATGATTGGAATAATATATGATTCATCACTTCTAGGTTTTGTAATATGTACATCACTTGTAGATTTTGTTTTAAACAACTGAACAAGGAAACCTCATTTTATTTTGTAAACAAATTGAATCAGCAATTAGTATGCAAATGAATTGTGATGTATGAAACAGGTCATCATTGTTTGGAAGCATTTTATGGAACTATAGTTGCCATTATATTGTAAAATACAGTTAAGAGCACCTCCAGTTCTTTTCTCCTCTAAATTTTCAAGTTCATTTCCTAGTTTATTGAATTTGATTGTATTGAAATGCATTTGTTCAATTTCATATGCATTATTTAAACATGAGCTCCATAATTTTGGATGGTGCTAACTTAAAATTTGGATTTGCACAAGAATCCACATTTTTTCTTTTGTGGAGTAAAGTTGTTCCAAGGATATTGTGTAAACTAATTCTTCTCACTATGTTGGTCTACTAAGTATCTTAAGTAGTCAATTTGCATAAAAATCTAAGCCATGTCATGAAAGATGAAGGTCTATTTTGTGTTGTCTGTTTCAGTTTTAGAGACTTGTTAGTGGAAGTTCTTGAAATGCCACCGGGAAGTATATTCTATTGAATGTTCATATATTGTGGCCGGTGGCTAGTTTTAATATAGAACATTTTAATGGTTACAAATTGATGAGGGTGTTTGGATTGTTTAAAAACAGCTTTAAGCTGGTTTGATTTTAAAAAACAGCCTGAAAGTGTTCATTTGCACTCTAAAAGACTAAAAGCTACTGGTTTTAAAGTCAAAATTAAAAAGCTGTTGAGACTAGATTTTCTTTTTCATGACTTTAAGTTGTCAATTGAAAGCTCATTTGATGACATTACAGACCGAATTGCCTCCAAATAACCTTGAAATTACATTAGACCAGTTTTTACCTACAAGAGAGATGAATTATTATTCATCATTTTTTTAGATTTGAGGTCAAAATTTTCCTAACACTAAACACTTGGAAATGTATTAGACTATAGAAGTCATGTATACATATATATATATATATATGATGAAGTATCTAATACGTCGTTTTATATATGAAGGATTAGATACTTCACTATGTGTTTAAAGCTTGTTCCTTTGAGCTTAGAGCACCAATTTCTTTTTTATTAAAAAAAAACGACAATGCAAAAAGTCCTTGTTTCTTTTGATCTAGGTTGAGTGTAAGTTGACTTTAGGAATACACTCTGAACGATCTGGTTCTAGCTTTGAGATAAATACCAAGCCTACTGTTTCCAGGTCTATCGATGCATGGAATTCTGGAGGATTCCAGGTTTGCTAACATGAACTAACCATAAAGTTCGCTGATTCTTTTACGTGCAGGAGATGATCTGGGTATTTTTCTTCTCCTCTCTGCTTTTTATTTGTTGGTTTGAATCTATTGTCGAAAGAATCATAAGTGTAGGTGCTACCTATGAGCAGATGTAGGTTTCATGTTCCTTAACAGTGCTAAAACCATGTGGGAACCTCAAATTCCTGAATCTCCTCTCACACCAGAGCAATAAATGGGATAAGAATAACTCAAGTAGGCCTCTTGAATGATAAAAATAGATTTCATGTTCCTTGTACTCTGTTTGAGTCGAAATAAACAATAGAATTTTATTTTATTGTATTTTACGAGTGTGAAAAAATCATATTTGTTTCAATTTTTAATGATAACAAACAGTATTTAACTGATAAATTTGGGATGAATTTTAAAATCATCGAATCGGTGATATGTGAATGACATGTTTTTTTTTTCTTTATATCCCATATAATATATTTAATTTTATTTTTGTCTTCACAATTTATTATTTATTTTATTAAATATAAAAATTTAATTTATAATAATTATTTATTTAAATATAAATATAATTATATTTGTAAATAATTTAATTATACCACTTACTATTACATAAATAAGTAGGGATAAATTAGTAATTTGACTGAAAATACAATCATACCATTTTATTATTCAAATAAAAATATATCATTAATATATAATCATTCAAATATAAATTTTTTTTATTATTCCCGTCTTATATCATTATCATTTAATTACTATCATTATCATACATTAATTAATCATCACTAAAATTTAGTCAAACAGGATGTTAAAGTTAACGGAAAATTGTGGTCTGTTAAACGATTTTCGTACACTAAGTTTTGAGGTTGCAAAATGCTTAATGTTGTTGTTAGTTTTTAATCATGATGTTGGTATTTTTTATGAAACAACTAACTCAGTAGATTTTAATTGCAAAAAATAGAGATAATATAAATTAGGAATTTATCACTACCATTTATATCCTGCTTATCGTTCAGATTTATATTGGTATCAAGTCATCTTAGGTTACCCCCATGTAAGTTATGGTGTACATATTACTGTTTGCTTTAGCAAATTGGGGAATGAAATTCTGTGATCGTACCAGCTTCTGTTCTTTGATTGGATTTGGGTTTACTCTATGAGTCATAATTGCATATCATGAAATACTCCATTAACTTTCTGGAAGAAATGGAGTTGTAGTAGGACAGACTTGAGCATAAGCTTGTTGCATAAAAGAGTTCTTCCTAATGCCATCAGCGTTTTTACAGAGAAATTTTGCGGTTGAGCTAAATGTGGCGATCCCAAGGATGACTTCTGATTCTTCACGTATATGTATAAATAGCTTAATATATATATATATGTAATAATTAATTTATATCAATATATATAATTAGGTCTAACTAAAATGCAGGTTCTAACAATTAGGTCAAACTAAATTATCAATTCTTCTGGTTTTAAAGAAAGATAAACATTTCTACTTATTACTTTAAGAGACCTCTACAAAATTGGTCTATCCCGATCTACCAACAGGAATAAAATAAACAATTTATATTATTTAATATTGAGTTTAGTTAAAAGTTATTAATTTTTTAAAAAAATAATAAAAACTAACCTTTTATAAGATTTTATGTGAAATTATAATAATAGTATTTAAATTCTTGATCAAATTAAGTTTTAAACTCATTAATTTTGACCCAATTTTACATAAAAATCTCATATAAGTTAATCTGCCAATTGTTATTTATTTTCTTAAATTAAGAAATAGCTACGAGAGAGGTTGATATGTTTTAATAGATTTTCACTGCATCTTTTTATGAATCAACCATGGAGAGATTGAGCAACGTGGATTAGAAAAACCAAACACTGACTGCAAGAATCTTGATCGGTTAGTAGTTCCTTCTCCCTCCACAGTCTCTCTCTCTCTCTCTCTCTCTCTCTCTCTCTCTAACCGCAGAATTTTGTTAGAAGAAAATACAGAAGCAAGACATGCACTTCTCTCATTCTTTCCGCCAAGATTTCCCCACAAAATTTCCTTCACTATTTCCGGTATAGGATGCACTCTGCTTCTGTATTTCTCTTCTGGGTCCATTTCTGTATCTTCTTCTTCTTCTTCACTTTCTCCTCACTTTCTCTCCGGCCCCCAAACAATCTCACCTTCTATGGCGACGCCCGCATTAGAAACAACACCATTTGTCTCACTCAAGAACCATCATGTCCCTCTTCT